GGGTCAAAATGGGGGGGGAAGGGAGGGGAACAGAGCAGTACACACTAGGGCAGCATGCCCTTGCAGTATGGAGAACTCCGGACTGTGCAATATGTGGAACTGCACACGTGTTTGCGGTGCCACATATTGCATGCCTGCGCCCGTCTGGATGCACCCGTTGAGTCTAACCAGTGGATTAAGTAGCTTCTTTCTTTAAGTTTACACCCTCACTTATTCTGTGTTGGAGTTTGTCTACATTTGAAAGTTAACTTTGTGAATGAACTTTGTGTTCTAGAGGACTGGCAGGGAGATCTTTGCATACAGAACAAGTATTAAATTCTGTTTTAGCTTACTCTGGCCACAAAAACTCTTAGGTTCAAATCCTGATTGGGATCCTGTTGTGCTAGGGGTACTGTGCTAATCACATTGAGAAGGTCTACGCCATGAAGAATTCTAAGGCAGGGGCTGGCAATATTTTTGAGCAGAGTGCCAAAAACAACTGCAACTGCAACCTTGTAAGATGTTGGCCTATCAGGGATGGAAGGCGGGGTACCTGTGAGAGGCCCAATCCTTGCTGTGGCAAAATGACCCCATCCCCTTCCCTAAGGCACACGTGCTAAGCAAAATGCCCTCGCGTGCCACACTCTAGTATGCATGCTGGGGGTTGCCTACCCCTGATTTGGGGTGTCGTTACACAAAGAAGTTACCACAGTATGGTAATCAATGTTAGGTGTGAACACCAATGTTAGGTGTGAACTCGTTGCACCTTACTTGCTCCTCTGTACTGCCTGCTTTATGCTTTTACCCTATGATAAATATGCAAGAGTTTATTCACTGAGGGGTAAGCTACCTGGCACTTACTGTGGAACAAGTGTATAAACATGGGCAGTTATGGCAGAGTATATGATGTGCTGCAAGTTTGTATGTCAGTCACCTTGTGACTTGCTTTTATGTCATCATCCATAGTTGTATAGACTAGTTGCATGCATTGTTTGATAATTTAAAAAGATAAATTATACATATATTACACAAACAAATCCCATTACATGTAATAGAAGTAGTACTTGCATGCCACGGTATCATTTCGAATAAATGATTCTGACTGTAGTTAAAATTGTAGTTTC